ATATATATATATATATATATATATATATATATATATATATATATATATGTGTGTGTGTATATGTATAAACCTTTTGGCGTAGAAATGTCGTTAATGGGATTAGAAAAGAGGAAAAAAGGTCATGTGAACGGAGAATTAATATTATATATATATATATATATATATATATATATTGAGTGTCACTTTCCGGAGAAAAAGAGAAAGGAAATATATAGTAAGTGATTAGAGAAGTGTGAAAGTGATCGATTAAATCGGAATATTTTATCTTTATTTCTTATAAACTACATGCATTCTAGAAATCAAGTAAATTCACAATGATATAATGTTATTTCTCGCATTTGAGATTCTTGTGTTCTAGATTGATACAAGCGATCTTGCCCTAGATTTACCTTTTTTTTCCAATTTAATTGTTTGTTATTCCGTGGCAAGCACTCCATAAAAATCATTATACACATACATACATTCACACACACACACATATTGAATACTATCTTGGGTTTGTATTTTTAGTTTCTGTATAGTATTTACATTATTAAAACATAGTATAGCGTATGATAAAAAGTTAAAGTTCATCAATATATCAATTATCGGATGATAATTACCATGCATGCCCTAATTATATAAACGCATGCAATTCAATCGTACAAAAGTTGTTTATTAAACAATGATTTAATTAAGTAAACCGCGTGAAACTAAACTTTTATATGCCGAAATGACATAAATGGCCTTATCCACCAATAGTACTATTTTCTGTAAGCATAAATTTAAGCAAAATTAATATAATACAAACCCATTGATCCAAATGGTAGGCAAGATGTGACCCAATACAAATAAAAAATTTTAAAAAAAAATGGAAAGATATAGAGCATATAACGAAAAAGCACATACCACTACCTCCCCCACACGGTTCCACGTCAAGAGCACAAACACATACGCATGCAAACGACTATACATGCATATATATACAGTCGTGTGTATATATATATACACATGGTTCTTGGATATTGTTGAACACCTGCAAGTATCGATCCACTTGGTGGGAGGAGGTAAAAGAAAAAGTTACGAAAAGAATGGGAGGAAACCCATTAGGGTTAGGTCAATGGTGTTTTGTAACCATCGTATTGGTGTTGGGGAATACTGTAAAGGAAGTGAAAAGCCAATTGAAAAATGGGTATTATTCATCTTCGTGTCCGAAAGCGGAGTCCATTGTGAGATCAACTGTTCAAGCTCACTTCAAGTACGATCCCTCCATTGCCCCCGGCTTGCTCAGGCTCCATTTCCACGACTGCTTTGTCCAGGTTCATTGCCTTTTTCTGAATTTTCAAAATTATATTACATTTTTTGTAAATTATTTCATAGTTTTTGTTAACCAACTTGAAAACCATGTAAGAATCTTTTTTTTTAAAAAAAATTGAGAATTCTTCTCTGAAGTAAATCTGGAGATGAATCGTCTGAATTATCTTTATAGGGTTGTGATGGGTCGGTGCTAATCAAAGGGCCGACCACGGAGCGAACCGCCTTACCGAATCTAGGACTTAGAGGATTCGACGTGATCGACGACGCAAAATCTCAGCTCGAGGCCGAGTGCCCTGGCGTCGTCTCCTGCGCCGATATACTTGCGCTCGCCGCCCGCGATGCTGTCGATTTGGTACGCATGCAACCGAAAACGTGTTATCGTATATGAACATTTTACGTAATTCTATACCTTATATGTTATTATTATTAGGCTTCCGACGTATAAGGTTGCACTTTCTACGATTAGATTGTGATATGTTGCTTGACTCGTACGTTTTCTTATTGATCTGTATGATATCGGGCTGAGAAACCAGAGCGATGGCCCGAGTTGGAACGTTCCAACGGGTCGAAAGGACGGGAGGGTCTCGTTGGCGACACAGGCCTCAAACCTACCGTCTCCTCTTGACTCAGTTGCTGTTCAGAAGCAAAAGTTCGATGCAAAGGGACTTGACAGTCACGATTTGGTAACCCTAGTTGGTATGTTCATACTCTTCTCTCCAACTTTCTCTACATATACTTTCTATATATATATATATATATATATATATATATATATTACCAATTGGTATATCATGGACATATATATACTTGGTGTAATCAGGTGCCCATACGATAGGGCAGACCGACTGTCTCTTCTTCCGGTACCGTCTCTACAACTTCACGGTGACCGGAAACTCCGATCCGACCATAACTCCGTCGTTCGTATCGAATCTCAAGACTCTGTGCCCTCCGAACGACGACGGGTCCAAAAGGGTCGATCTGGATATAGACAGTCCCGCGAATTTCGACGTGAATTTTTTCAAGAACATCCGAGACGGGAAGGGGGTTCTGGAGTCGGACCAGAGGCTTTGGTCGGATTCCGACACAAACGATGTCGTGAAGAAGTACGCGAGCAGTCTAAGGGGTCTGTTTGGGATTAGGTTTGATTATGAATTTGGAAAAGCAATGGTGAAGATGAGTTCGATCGAAGTCAAGACGGGGGCCGATGGCGAGATTAGGAGAGTTTGTTCCAAGGTTAATTAATCAGTTTTCTTCTGTCATGTTTGTTGTTTTTGTCTAATTAAATTACTAATTACGCGTAAGAAAATATGAACAAGTGGAGAAAAAAAAAATAAGAATGTGAATCGTGGTGTTATGTAATTATATGTGTTTGTATTATTGTTGTTGTTTGAGTGAAAGTGGGGTTTCATATTGTTTGTTAATCCCAATGGTTAATTAATCATATGGTTTTAAGGAGATTAATTTCATGTAATTGCCAGGTGGCGTCATTAGGGAAATTTCCAGAATTAAATTAGGTTTAGGTCGAATTTTTATAATTTTTTGATACCATAATATATATATACCTACCAAAAACTAACGATATTTCTATAGAAGATGTTCTACTAGAATAGGATGATTTACAAAACACGATGCCGTTTAGAGAGATAATTCTTGCTGACGTGGCGAGAGTTGTACACGTGGCTGATTATCGCTGGCTGTTCTACCACGTACTATCAATTGGGGCCCATTTTTTTAATTTTTAATTGTGAAAACCTAAAAGAGGAGAGAGAATTAAGCCGCCTTCTTCCAGAGTCCCAGAAAACCATTGATCGTGTTCTCAAATCAGAAGTTTTGCCGAGAAAATCGGACGAGGACAAAACATGGGTTTCATCGGAGACACTGTAGATTCCATCAAATCGACTCCGATCAGGCAAAATCTCTCTCAGTTCATCAGTTTGGGTTCGACTCTGTCTCCCTCTCTCTCTGTTCTTACACGGAGATGTGTTTTTTTTTTGTTTCTGTTTTTTTTCTTATTCTGATACTTCCAATTATTTAGGAATTTGGATCGACCCATATGAGTATTGCTTCGTATGATACCCGATTTCATTTGTTAATCGATAGTCCTTACCCGAGTTTTGTTCAAAAGGATCTCGTTTGGATGAGGGAACGGAAATTGGGTAGTGGCCCATGTAAGGATCTGAACATTTTCTTATACTTGGAATCAACTGTGATTCATAGCCTGATTGGTTGTAAATGATGCTCCATGAACATAGGAAGGAGTTGCAATGGCCTCTGAACACATTTGAGTTTCAATGTGTAGATACAGCTGCTGTATGAATGAAATAGCTGATGAATTCAATTGTGAATCGTAGTATGTAGAGGAGAATAAAAGAAAGAATCATGAAGACAAAAGCGTCTGGTATGTTTCTTTACAGCAGATTTGGATGTTCCACAGGTATGATTGTTTCCTCCGCGTTGTTTATATGGAAAGCGTTGATGTGTATCACTGGAACTGAGTCACCTGTTGTTGTCGTTATTTCCGGTGGCATGGAGCCTGGTTTTCAACGCTTCGGTCCTAATTCTCTCGCCATACTTTCAGTCGATCTTCTGCTGTAATCCTTATATTTTGAAGTAAGGTCTTTTCGTCGGTTTTGCAGGGCGACATTCTGTTCCTGCACATGAGCAAAGCTCCTACCCGAACCGGAGAAATTGTTGTCTTTAACATCAATGTCAGTTCTGTTTCCTTGCTCCGTCTGAAACCCTTTCTTGTGTTCTGGTTCTATGCCATATCAGTACAACCAAACTGCATTAGCTGCCATTTTTTTTCCGACAAGGAAGGATGATTTGCAGCTGAAAGTGAAATCACCCTTTTAAGGTTTTTGTGGTTTCATCAATTGGAAGCTGTTGCAGATACGTCTCCTTTTCAAGAGTCCTTGCTTCTGTGTCGGATTTTTAACCATTTGTTTGTTTTGCTCTGCTGGTTCAATACATTTTCTGATGCGTTTCAATACAATTCTCCAGGGACATGATATTCCCATTGTTCATCGTGTTATCGAGGTACGTGTCTGCCCGAGTTAAACGATTTGATCGTATTTATACGATTGATCTGTCGTCCAGTAATCTTCTGAAATCAATAGATGATCTGATATGTAATTCTGGCAGGTTCACGAGCGTAGGGATACCGGGGAAGCTGATATCCTGACAAAAGGTACGAGAACCACTTTGAGCCAATGTTTGTAGAGACAGTCAGATCAAATACTAATGTATTCCTGACCATTTGTAATCAACAGAGACTCATCGTTTTCTTTGTCGTAAATGTATGATGTTTGTCTGAAGGGGACAACAACAAAATGGACGACAGGGGCTTATACGCATACGGTCAGCGCTGGTTACAGCGGAAGCATATCGTGGGCAGACCCATCGGGTAGCATCCTTGACCATTTTTCTACTTAAGCCCGAGATCGCGGTATATATATATACTCATATACATATCACGTATTACTTGTAGGTTCTTGCCTTACGTCGGTTGGGTGACCATCATCATGACTGAGAAACCAATTCTCAAGGTTTGATTCCTGAAAACTGCTAAACCCTAACCCTAAACCGTCCTAAAGAACCATCATCATGACTGAATTTGGCTTTTGTGCAGTACATTCTCATAGGTGCACTTGGCTTGCTGGTTATAACATCAAAGGATTAAAAGACACAGCTAAAGGAATGGACTTCAGAAACCCAAAAGAAAGGATATAGAGAAACAAAGTTTTCAACATTCTACATTCTTCGTTTTGAACAAGACCATGAGACGCTCACTTGTATAGTGCCGAAAAACAATAACTGTTGTGATTTTGTACTAAACATGAATACCTCCGGAGGTTATTAATAATAAGAACAGTATTAAAGATATGGCTTGGAGGGGGAGGAAGAAGACTTTCATATAAGGTAGGTGTATAGATCAAACAGTTAATGTAGCAATCAGCAAAAAGCTTGAACTGTGTTACCAAATGGCTCCTATGCATCGGGCATCCTCCATGTATGTTTCTGTCATCGATCTACAACCGAGCTTCTTGCAGGTTCATTCATTGACTTGGTAGGTTCGCCAATCTGCAAAAGAATCACAAAAGATGGTATATTGAAGTTGGCTAACTATGAATTTTACCGCATATTTGAAGTAGATAGGCGACAAAGAGGGTTCTCAAACAATATCGGCGTCGCTAGCACAGCTGCAAACTTTTCAAGCAAACAACAACATTTTGATACCGAAAATTTCTTGAACACCATCAGATCTTCTTCAGAGCAAAGGGCAGAAAACAAACAATCAAACAAGTCCGTAAAAAGACGAGAAATCCAACACACTGATTTGGGTTTTCACTGTATATGGATGTTCTGACGAGGCGACATACACGATACCGGCTACCCAAATAATGTTTTCCCGACTTACTTTCAAGAATTCACTTCATATAGGAACAACACAAGTCTAAACATCCTATCGAAACCGAATCAGAAGAAATAACACACAGATGACACAACAATGCACAAGCTGCAAAGAAAAGAAATAGACATGGCTTTTGACATATAACATCAGCAACTGAGCTTACTACACATTACACAATTAACCGATTGAGCTATGGTTAGAAAGCAAAGCTTTCATACAGCATGATCTCTATTCTCTGCAAAAGAAGTAAATTTATGTTCGAGGGAAAGTGGAATCAGAAAGAGTCAAATTGGATTGGACCTTGGTTTAATAGGCAGCTGACTCGAACTTCCGCAACATGTCACAGTGCGGTTTTTCATGGATCAAACCCCATTGTTGCCTCTGCAACTCATACCGACAGTTCTGAGACACTATAGAGTAATAATCTCGATTAACTTGTGCTTCTACCCTCTGCCGCTCGGGGCTATTAAGCGGGTAATCCTGCTCGAACTTGGATGATCTCACAAAGTAATTGACACCCCTATTCGTCGTGAACTTGTACTTGTAAGGGTAAGAGGCCGAGAGCGAATAAACCGGTTGTGAAGAAGGTAGAAAATTGAGCAGCAGTATAAGCAGAACAGGAAGAAACTGGTTTCCATTTTTCGTAAGATGTGTTTAGACGGAGTTTACCCAAACGATGTCACGTTGCTTGCATTGATCCATGCAATCACGTGTGCTGGGCCCTGCCATTCCGCCGCCGAAATTGAATGTACGGAATTGGGCAGTCGCAGGAGGCATTCCACCGAAGAAGAAGCTTCGGAAAATCTCGTCCGCGTCGAATTCATTGTCGTAATAGCCATTGAACCCGTCTCTTCTCGCGGCTCGGCGAGATTGATAAACGGGTTCATCGGGGCCACTAATATCATACTTTTTCCGAGTGTCCTCATTGCTTAGGCACTGAAACGCCTTCGATACAGCTTTGAACGCTTCTTCGGAACCAGGGGCCTTGTTCTTGTCGGGATGAACCTTCAAGGAGAGTTTCCGATAAGCCTTCCTCACATCTTCCACTGAACAACTCTTCTCTACCCCTAAAATCTCGTAATAGTCCTTCTTCGACTTAATTTGTCTCACTATCGCGATCTGTTCTTCGGTGTAAGACGCCGACGCCGACGCCGACGCCGACGCCGACGCCAAC